GGGAGCTGGTCTTACTCTAAATCTACTCAGCAGTACGACGTGTGTTTCAGCTCAGACACAATGAAGAGTGACGTAGTGGTTTTCCCCGGACCGTTTCCGCCTGTAGATGGTGAACTGATCAGTATTAACGGAGGGGACACTTTTACCAGAACTCAGACTTTACCCAACACAGACAAGGTAAGGATCATGACACATAAAAAGGGGTGGCAGATCAAATGTTTTCATTTTTTCACATAATGGTACTTTATTGTGTTCTCTCTGACATTTGTGAGGTGTGATCGTATACTTATATGCCAATGTAAGATGAGCCATCTTATTGTGACCATTACTTAGTACTTATTTTTGTCATGCAACAATTTTCCCAATCTGCAGCATGGTTTTTATTTTAGTTAGCCTGGTGCCTAAACATGTCTCATAGTGATATCACCACTCTTGCTTAAATGCTATGTGGTTATAATTGTTGCTTTCTATTTGGAGACGCAACATATGACTTTAATAACGCTTAAAATGATCTTTTCTTAAATCTTTTCTTGGCTCCAACTTCAAAATGACCACTAGATGTCCCAATTGCCTCACATAGGAAATATACTTTTTTCCTTACCACGCTCCTCCCTTTTCGTTTAAGAGAGGTTTGTAATTCTTTGTTCGTCATAGCAGTAAAGAACACTCACTGTATCAAGGAGCTCTGATCTGGAGGATTTCCGAGCAATGTTAACGCTGGAGTAATTTTTTTAATTAACTTGTCAATCAGGTTGTGGGCAGAATGCAACGAGGGAATATTTTGAGGAATTGGATTTATTTGTTGTTTCATATATCTCTATGGAGTCTCGCCGCCGCACAGATTGTGTATTCTGTTACAGAGGAATCGAGCCCTGGTACCGCTGTGGGGAATTTGGCGAAGGACTTACATCTAAATGTACCAGACTTGGAAACTCGCGGATTTGAGATTTCAGGACCCAATAGGAGATATTTCGAAACGGATGTTAAGACTGGGATACTCTCGGTGAAAGACAGAATTGACCGAGAGGAGCTATGCTCTCGTAATGTGAAGTGTTCTCTGGAAGTGGAAGCAATGGTGAACTCTCCGCTGAATCTGTATCGCTTTGAGGTTAACATTGTGGATATTAACGACAATGCACCCTCTTTTCGGATACCAGGGATTGTTTTGAACGTGTCCGAGTCGGCTTTTCCTGGGGAAAGATTTACCCTCGCAAGAGCCTTTGATGCAGATGTCGGCAGTTATTCAGTTAAAGGCTATAAGCTTAGCCAAAATGAACATTTCACAATGGACGTAAATGGTGGAGAGCCGACAATGTCTGCTGAAATGGTGCTTCAGAAAGCGTTAGATCGTGAAAAACAGCCGGTTATTAAATTAACGCTGACAGCTATTGATGGAGGAAAGCCTCCTAAATCAGGAACATTACATATCACCGTAAATGTCCAAGATGTAAACGATAATATTCCAATTTTCGACAAACCTCTGTACAAAGCCACGGTGCTTGAAAACCAGCTGTTCGGTACAACCGTAATATCTGTGCATGCTCATGATTTAGATGAAGGTCCTAACGGGGAAATAGTATATTCTTTTATTAACCACGACAGTGATAATGATGTTGACACATTTTCAATAAATCCCATGACGGGTGAAATTACTGTAAAGGGAGAATTAGATCATGAAAAAAGCAATGCAGTTGAAATCCGGGTCCAAGCTAAAGACAAAGGACCAAACCCAAGAGCATCTTACTGTAAAGTACTAGTTGAAATTGCTGATATTAATGATAATCCACCAGAAATATCGGTAACATCCTTAGTCAACGTAGTGAGGGAAGATGCACCCCAAGACACAATGGTTGGACTTATAACTGTGAAAGATAACGACGCAGAGAAAAATGGCGCTGTTCAGGTGAGAATAGTTGATGCAGTGCCGTTTAAAATAAAGAACACATATAAAAATCATTATTCTTTAGTCGTAGACGGAATTCTAGACAGAGAACGAGCTTCTCAATACAACGTGACAATAACAGCGACAGACGAAGGGGTTCCGCCTCTTTCCGTTACAAGAGTTATTACAGTCCACGTGTCTGATGTCAATGACAATGCACCTCGTTTTAATGAGCCTGTGATAAACATTTTTGTCAAAGAGAACAGTCCAGTAGGCGCAGTTATCTATACTATGAAAGCATATGATCCGGATGTAGACGAAAATGCAAAAATTACGTTTTCAGTAATTCATGATAAAAATAAGAACAACATAATAGGGTCTGTTATAAACGTCAACTCGGAGACTGGAGATATAGTCAGCCTGCAGTCTTTTAACTATGAGGAGTTAAACACGTTTCAGTTTAAAGTGCAGGCCACAGACTCTGGTGTTCCTCCTCTCAGCAGCAACGTGACTGTGAACGTTTTAATTCTGGATGAAAATGACAATAATCCAACAGTCCTCGCGCCCTATTCTGAGCAGCTCCGTTAACAGTGAGCGCATCCCCCTATCTCTGAGCGATACTGGCAAAGATCAAGGGCTGTAGACCCAGACGGAAACCAATGCGCTGCTCTATCACCTCTCTGAGCCCAAAGGAAACAACCTCTCCGACGACCGTAGCGAGAAACAGGACTAAGAAAGAAAGATGACAATGACCGAAACACCCTGGTGGTTGGCTGAAACCGAGACCCCCTCCCTGCAGCTACGCTCATGGGGGGGGGGAGTTTGTGGTGGTTAAAGCCAGCTGACCACCAGCCAGTTCAGACTGGCCCTACAGGAGGAGAGCTTCCCTGATTTAAACTGTATCGCATCGCCTTGTGCGGTCATATCTTCTGCGAGCCTCCACAGTTATAGATGCAATGCACAGGACAGACCGGCAAGTTTCGCAGGACAGCGCCCCAATGATCACCAACCCACCCTG